AATGTCAATTAAGTGTCTTCTATGCAGCTTAATATTCTATGTCACCCCCCACCCCCAACATACACACCCTAGTCTACCATCTATTCTATTCAAGATCTTCTTTCACCAGATCCCTAGGTTCTTGCCAATATATATTAATCAAGTGTGTAGCATTGCTTACACTCTCATTTTGGCTTGACTGAGCTGAGACCTGACCCTAATTATCAGTTATCTGCAGAAGACAGGCCTAGGGCCTCACCTTGAAATGCAGCAAATGGCAAAGTTCAGAACAGCAGCAGTAGTAGTACTGGGATTCAGGAGGTAGACAGTTGTTTTCTGAAGGAAATGGTAGTCAAACTAATCTAAGAGGTGCAAAAGGTATCTAATACAAAACCATTTCCCTCAGGGCAGTAACGCTTTCAAGGCTGTGTATTAGCGAGAAGTTTTTGCTTTTTGCTTTCCCTATGTTTCTAGATGAACTAGCTTAAACTAATCTTCATCTAAAAAGACTCTTAGCTATGTAAGTTAATTACTCTGTGATAATTGCTCTTGCTAGTGTAGCATGCAACAATGAAAGGCAGACTTTGTCGTCATCCGACCAACTACAAACTATGTACTCATGCGCAAGGGGTTTAATTTATTAAGGCCTAAGTTATATCATAAATAAAATTTGCATAATATCAATTAATTTACCAGATTGCTATAAAAACATTTTAAACAATTAATTGATGCTTTTCCATCAGATAGATCAAGAACTTTTACAAATTGATAAATTAAGTCCTCTAACATATTAACTATGAATAAAACTATGTTTCATTCAAAATAAATAAATAAAATAAAGGTAAACTGCAGCCTATGGAAAGGTAAAATTACATAAGCACAGTTTATTTGGCAAGGCAAACTGGATAAAAATCCAACAATAGATTATACTGAGTGCAATAAAGGAAAGGCTAAATGTCTAGCTGAGTGACAGGACACAAACAACCAATAAAACAAACTAAATATTTGAAAACGCAGTTGTGGTTCATGTTCAATTATTCTATATCTCCAAGAAAGTTATTTTTTAAAAAAAATTTATATTACACAATAGGTAAATTTAATTATCATGTGAATATTTAAAACTCTCCGATGTAATAAATCCCCTAGGATCACAAGTCTACTACACAGATTTCCTTCTCTTTCCAAATACATTATTGATTAATTTGGCCATTGATTTAGATCCACTGGGTCTTCTCTTTTCTTTGAGTTTGAAGTTTGTCAGGACATCCTTGATAATGCTGATAAACATCATTTCTACCTCCAGAGACTGCTCTGCTGCAGACAGCTCACAGAATTGGCATCGGTTATCCAGTGCCAGCTTTTGCCCTTCTTCCCAGCCAACCTCTCGCATGTGGCAGAGATCTTGCTTGTTGCCAACCAAAAGCACTGCTGATTCCACAGCTCTGAAATATAGATTGTGTGGCAAGATTAGTTTAACAACACTTTTTTTTCTGTTTTTAATAAGTATATTTATGTTAAACTGACTATGGATCAAAAAAGAAGAAGAAAATTGCATGTGTGTGTAGTTTGAGTGTATCATTATGGTCTTGTGTTTATGAGTGTGTGTGCATAATGACATATATTCCCATTTATTTATAAAAACCATTTTACGTAGAATCTAGTAAATGGCAAAGAAGCAACAGGCCTTCATAGCATAGGATTTGAAGTAATACAAATGTATTCTTGAATTCTGGCTCCATTTACTAACAAGGCATTATTGTTATCTTTCTCACTTTGTTTCCTGATGTATTAAAAAAAATAATTGTCATCACACAGAATTCTCATGCAGTTAATTGAAATGATGTATATAAAAAATATCTAGCATGTCGCCAGTTATTTATTGAGTATTATTTTTCATTTTCCTTATCAATTGAAAGAAAAAGACTAATAAACATCTCTATGTGTCTACCGTTACTATAACTGAACAGTCAATTTAGATCTAATTTTCCTAAGGAAAGATATTGTTCAATATTCATTGCTGTTTTTCTTCATTAATACCCATTCTCTAAAGAAAATTTTACAATCTCATGACCTTTTACAATTTTTTTATTTAAGAAAATAGTTTCTCTGTTAAGATAATGACTTAAGCAAATATTAATA